GTAATAAAAAAAGTCCAATCTGGGTGATTTTGATCCATATAAAATTCTGAAAATCGAAATCTTCACAAACATTCTGATGCCATTTGTGCAGGAGTTCATCGAATGATGATCATTATACAGCCGTCATGTGCTGGTAAACAATCAAATATTTACATTCATTATTCATATAACAGATGCTTTTATCCAAAGTAACTTACAAATGAGCAAAAAAAAAACAACAACGTCACACTTCATAAAAATAATAGCAAAAATACATGCAGTGCCACAATGCCAAACCAGAGAAGCACACAGCTAAGAAGCGATGTAAATGCAAAACAGAAGAGAGAGAGGAAAAAACAAAAAAAGATTTTAAAATGTATATATATTTTTTTCATTTTATATATTTTTGTTTTGCTGCTAAAGATTAGCATTTATTTATGGTTATGGAGGTGTGTGTGATGGCTCAGATGGTTTGTTGTTGAAGGCTCAAAAATCATTCCACCCCAGTGGGAGTGTACATTTTCTAGTAAGTGACATTAACTCTGGTCGTGCAGTTCACTGACCCCAGAGAGCCTGTTAGACGGTGTTGATCCAGAATCAGTCCAGAATGCAAGCGTCAGAGTCTTGAATTTGTTAAGGGAAGCTATGGATATCCAACGGAGAGAAACCACTGCTGAGGCTTAATTGTAAGGAAGGGCTTGAATAATATCCTTATAGGTCAAGAGCAAGTGGAGGTGGATTCGCAGATGTGGGATGGAATCATCAATCTTAGGTCGATTATGACTGCTTACTAGGGATGCACCGATGTATCGGCCAATAATCGGTATCGGTAAACAAAACCCTTCTGCGCTATCGGCAATCCAAAAAAACAGCCATGATCAGGGCTAATTATATGCTGTCAAACAAAAGGGCACAGAAAAACCTGTCAGACTGCAAATGCCTCTAATGTAGACTATAGAGCTGTCGATAAAAAACACAATCCTATTAAAAAAATAGCGTTGTTAACACTAGTCCTATTTGACCCTATGAATCACCCATAGTTCAAGCCGGGGTTGCCATGTCCGTGTTTTTTCCTTCAAATATTATTTGTTTATTTATTATCTCATAAGAAACAATGTCTTAGCTCTCAAATAATGTCTATTGTATCGCAAAATTCAAACAATAAATACAGTTTTTGCTTCAGTTAAAGCGGCAGTGCGGAGCGTGAGTCTCTTCCACTTTAATTCAAGTTACAGGGCAAAATAAACATGAATGAACATCAGAAGATAAAGTACTGAAATGTATCATGTCTATGTAATCGCTCAATCAGCGTTTCAACCGCGGAAAGATGACAATAAAACAGCTTGTGAACAATGTCACTTAACGCTGCATTCATGGCCGTAGCCAGAGTTTGAAAATTAGTGAGGTCTGGGGTGGAGTTAAGCTAATAACCCCTACAAATACAGCTCATTATATGCACTAAACACTTTAAAAGAGACAGAGATGTAGATGTTTGTGAAAGATGTTTTCTCTGTTTTGGAGGGATGAACACTGTTAAATTATGCCATATTTATTGTGTAAAAAATTGAGAATGTTTTACTATAGGTTAGGGGTGGATAATTTTATCAGATGTTTATTAATCATGCAACAGTAAACTACTATACTGTACTTAAATACTTTACTGAATGAAATAGCCTTCTTCATGGCTAGTGTTTGCTTATATTTCAATTCATTCTGTAACTTACTTGTTCTACAGATCTGTGTACTAGTGTTAAATGCTACTGTTTTTGACAAAGTTGATAACGTTTTTGACAGATCATTTCATGATATTTTTTGTGTTTGTCTAACCGAATGTGCTATCCTGTCTGTTGATAACGTTTCTGACAGATAATGTCATGATATTTTTTGTGTTTGTCTAACCGAATGTGCTATCCTGTCTGCAATAACCTGTCCATGGGCTTTTTTGATAACTGTCAGTTTAAGTGCCGGAGCTGCAACGTTGCCAGATATTGCTATAAAAACAAATAAAAACAAAAAAATTATAATAAACCGAAATTATTTAAAATACTTTGCAAATAAGATAAGATAAAGATATCGCTGACCCTAAACTGAAACTTCCCACTTTATTAACTTTCTAAAGTGTCAAATTAAGTGGAAAATAATTTTCTCTGAAGACTCGTTCACTCTGCCAGCATCTTGCAGCGATCATTTTCATACCGCGGACACTAAACATTCTTGCAAACTGTTTAAACTGAATTATAAACGCAGACACTCATATGAGGAGTTTTAATTAGCAAACTAGTCATTCAGAGAACAAATTTTAGTTTTGAGCGTGAAAAATTTACCGAGGCCCGGACCTCAAAGCTGGCTACGGGCCTCGCTGCATTTACCACAATTCGTTAGATAGCTATAAAAAAACAGATGGAGCCTATTTATTGTTAATTATGTATGTATGTCGGAATAAATCTGTCATGAAGACAAGTTTTTAATTTTTTTTTTACGAAATCTACCTTATGTGCAACTGAGTCATATACAAACATTTCAGTTTTTATTTGACTATATCCGAAAATAAACAGCAGTTGAATAAAACAGTTCAGGCTTTGTTGTAAATTTTAACGTCTTATATAATAGCAATGTGCCAAATGAGAGGGTTCCATGCACAGCATTAGCTGCGAGAGATTTTTTTTTTTTATTAAAATGTACACTGTTTACTTTGTTAGCGGACATTGCTTAAGGTCTTGAGGTGAGCAATTGGGCAAAGAATATTCGGAACCACCCCTTTAGTTTGCTGTGAGCAAAAGACAGAGAGGAGGAGCATTAAAATAAAACTCGCCCTCTATTAAATATTCCGTTTCAGTTGGAAATGTCACAATACTGAAGTAAAGTCGGCAGCAACTTCCAGTTCACCTGGACTTTAAGAAAACCAGGGTATGGGTATCGGCATATGTTATTCTGAATAATCGGTTTTCGGCTGAGAAATGTAGTATCGGTGCATCCCAAGTGCTTACAGACTCTGAGGAAACCTCATATCCAACGAAGCATAAACTTCCGTCTCTCTGGCCGCTCCTGCCATCACCCTTCTGGCTGGATGGACCTCCCGTCTAACCTTGTGAACCTCAGTGGACTGCATTATTTCAGTGTTAACCATCTGGGCGGATGGATGGAGTGCCTGTTTAACCCCTTGAGCCTCCATGGACTGCATTATTTCAGTGTCAACCATCTGCATCGCTCCTTGAGTTTGCAAAGACCCTTTTGGTGGCTGCTTCTCAACAAGAACTACACTCTGGTAGTGCTGCGTTTCACGTTTGGCAGAAGCACCAGAGCCCTTCTTCTCCTCCATTAACAGGTTCTCCTGAAGGCCTAGGACTGGGCTGGGCATCACCAGCAGAGTAGGCTGGGCTTCCATCACATAAACGGGGGTGGCAGAGGTGTAGTACATCGCAGGCTGCTGGACTAACAGGGTTTGGTTAGGAACCACTACTTTATCTTGGACATAGACTCCTGTTGAAGACATGCTGCTGGTCTGCTGCGCTCCTGCGGTATGAATGATGGCGGATGAGGTTGCTTTCTCCTGAGACTGTAAATGACTAACTGACTCTTGTATGTTGACATCTTTGTGTGTGGTGGAGAGGACCGGTTTGGAGGTCACAGGGACGGTCGTGCTGATTTCAGCCTTTATTGTAGAACCACTACAGATTTCAGCCAGTGTCTTGAACTTTATATGAAGGTCATCAAGAAAAGCAAAGTCATTGTCTTCATGTAAGAGACCACAGATGTCCTCAAATGAGCCCTTGTATGATTCCTGACCCTCGTAGTCGTAGATCTTTAGACTTTCTCCTATGTCTTGCTTCTTAGCCACATGACTTGCTTTCTGTAGTAACACAGGAAATAATGTTGCATTTATTGATTCAGAAACCCTTGACCCATTCATATACACCAGTGACCCAAAAATACATTTTTAGAAAATATTTCTAACTGTACATACTGTATTGCGGAATTTTCTATTTGTTTTACTGTTTTTTTTTTTAAGTTTAAAGGTCAAGTTTAAACATATCAGTCTGGTCTTTAATCCTCATAATGCATTCAAAATCTGTATGCTATTTTCACATTATGTTTCTGTTTGGACCTGAAGAATCGTTATAAATCGTTTATAAAATAGTCATAGTATTTTCCAACAAAAACCATATTGTATCTGATTAACAACTTCTAGTTAATAAGTGAATGTGAAAAAAAATCAGTTTTGAATGTTACCATGTTATTACCATGTTATTACTGCATTTACCTATATATAATTGTATGAAATTTATAAGGACTAATCTAAGCATTATTATGTGTATATGTGTATATATATATATATATATATCAAATGCATTATGAGGGTTAACGCTTTCTGTTCTGGTGCTCTTTTATGGCATGCTATGTAAAAGCTTGTTATGTGCACCTGGTATTTGGAGTCTTCCATATGCATTTTGCAATATTAATATTAATACATAGTCGATTCATTTATTTTGATTACATGATTGATTAATTGTTAGTTTACTTTTAGTTATGAAGATTATGCTGTGTAAAACTGATACTTACTTGAGAATAGTAGTTGCCTAAGAAAGCATCAGACAGTGCAAGCCCGTCAAACATGTAATCTTCAAATCTGCTGTGTTCTTCTTCTCTTTGTCCAGACACGTACCACCCGTCAATCTGGTGAGGATATGCACTGTCATGCTGGTCATAGAACGAGGTCCAGTGTGAGCCTTCTGCTCCACATCCACCATCCTTTACTCCACCCCATATCTTAGCTCCTCCTACAGCGTCCACATTACCGCGCTTGTTGTCCTCCAGCTCCTTTGAAATCTTTAAGATAGCCATGTCCTGGGGGACAGAGTACAGCATGTTTTTATAAGTGCCAAATATGTGTAATCATCTTTGACAAGAAAATAATTTTAGCAAATTACTTCAACCTGATTAGGAACTGCAACACAATACATTAAAGTTCAGCAGTTTGACCAATATGGATTAAAGCAACATGCATGATAGAAATGAAAGACAATAAACCTACTACTATCTACTAAAAAAATAAATAAAGACTTTAGACCACCAGAACCAAAAACCCCATTAGTGATATTTTTATGTATTCCTTCCAGAACAGCATCTGGTCACACATGTGCAATAATCCTTACATAAAGCCACCAAAATGGAAGAAAACCTGCACATCAACAGATCATCTGTGGAGGTAACCAAAGCAATCTTATGCTTCTTGAGCACCTTTTTATCCCTCAATAGATTTAGATCACCCAAAGAAACTGTGTTTTGATTATAAAGTCTCTGAACATAGACAATTATCCTTGAGATGAACCTCAACAGATTGCAGCTGAAAAATACCTATAGAAATTTGCTTTAAATGTTTGAATGAAGACTATTTGCATAATTTTGTCAGAGTGCCATTCAATTAAAAAATAATAATAATAATATTTGCGTTAAAGGCACAATATGTAAGATTTTTTAAAATTAAAATATCCAAAAGCCACTAGAACAGTGTTATATATTTTGCTGACTTGTGTACTTACATTATCCCAAATGTTTCGAAGAATGTTTAAATCCAGAGAAATAAGCAATTTTAACTAGTGACACGGACCGTGTCCATAGTGTCGCCTGCCGATGACGTCATAACCCCTCGATTTCCGAAACCAAAGACGCTTTAATATGTTGTGCGTTTTAATAGACCGGTGACGAGCGCACAGAGTAGCATTATAACAGAACTTTCAAATGTATCTAGTATGATAAAACAGCGCTGCTTTACCCCACATACGCACGACCGGAAGCAGCGGAAGC